AGAAAGTCAGCAAGATTTCAGTGCTAGTGCGCAGGGACATTTTTGTATTCTTAGGTCTGATTTCGTAAACAAGTCGTTTGTAAGTGAGGTGAAGCTTGGGGTACACAAGACAAATCAGGCTCCTGTAAGAGGCACGATAGTCTGGGAAGGCCGAGAGCCACTTATGCGCCGGGATGGGACGTAGCGCGTACAGCTCCCCCAACTCACAAGTTCCCTGGTCGGCGAGGAGTGGGATCCGGGGAAAGGTTTCTCGTTTGCGCACAGTACAGAACCCCGGCACAGATCAGCACCTGCTCCTTAGCTGGGCTCAGGGCTGGACCAGCAGAGGGGGATGCAGCCAGGACGGAGGTGCACTGGCAGTGATGTCGTCGGGGTAGGACGGGAGGCTGAAAGCAAGGAGCACGCTGCACCGGCAGAGGTATCTGGCTGCACAGGGGAGCAGCGTGTGCATGCTGCAGGGAAGTGCTGTCCATCTCCGGCCAGCACTGCCAGTCCCTCGCTGGTGTGAGCGCTAAACTCGTGCACGAGGCCTGCTGAGAGAGAGGGAATTTGAACGGGTTTGTGTCAGGGGCAGCAGCTCCCCTCCTGTCCCTGCGTGTAACATGGCAGGTGCGTACGGGTAGGCCAGCCCCAGTAGGCCCTAGAGAATCCAGATCCACACGCGGGAGGGGTGGGGAAGCCAGCGACTTGGCACCAGTTATCTCAGCATTGAACTCTGGCTCCCTGCAGAGCGGGCTCAGGTCCCAATCTCACACCTGCGCTGCGGTACCAGAGGGCTCCCCATCACCTCTCCCCGGCCCCCCCTTGTAAGGGGCACGGCACCACCAGTCTGCCTGCTCCCAGAGCAGAGCTATCACACGGGATGGGAAGGAAGCCTGGGGGCAGGGCACAAGGGACCCAGAGCTGCAACATTTGGATCCACCCCAAAATCTGCATCTGGCCGTCTTGTTGTACTTAAAGTACTGCACAGGATCTTTTCAGGGGGAATAAGACAAAACGCCACATTTATTAGTGATACATGTATTCCTTAACACTGTATTATATGCATATAATATATTACACTTACACTCACACACACACACACACAAACACACTCCGTCTTGTTGTTACCAATTAGTTGCTCCCCTTACCTTCACTGGCCAGGTGAGTTAGATGGGGGAGGGGGTGGAGCCGGGCTTCTGCCGATCCGGATCGATGCTCCCA